TTATAAATATATATGTGTAAAAAATATTAATAATTTTGATAATTAATAATTTAAATTATTAATAATGTTAATAAGTAATAATTTTAATATATATGTGTTTGAAATTTTATATTAATGTATAATTTTAATAAGTTAGAATTTTAATAAGTTATAATTTAATAATATAAATGTTAATAATTTATAATTTAACAATTTATAATATTAATAACTTAAATATTACATTGATAAAGAGAGAGTGCATTAAAAATAAAAATTCATAACATTAAGATAAAGTGAATTATATAAGATTTTTAATCTCCGTAATGGTGTTTAGTTCTACAACGAGGGTGACGTTTGTTGTGGCCTGAGTTACGCCATGGAGGTTGTTGCTCAGCAGGATTTGAATCGTCATCAAGGACTGGTTGTTGGAATGCAACTGAAGAACTACCAGGTTCATTAGCAAAATCTGATTGGTAAAGAGATTGCATGTATGAATGTGCTGAAGATGGAGTTCTAAAATTTACTCCAAATAAATTTGTAAAAAAATCACTTGAAGTTGTTGCAAACGAATGTCTTCTATCAATTATGTTTTCTTGTGGCGTGATGTTGTGTGGAGGATTTGATACATGCTGATGAGTCTCTTCATACAACGACATGGAAGTCGTATCAGTTTCAAATGTTGTGAGAGTCCTTCATTGTTGATGGGTCCTTGGATCATGTAGTAGTTGTGGCACAGATAGAAAATAGATGGAATTGGCCAAGTACCATTCCATGTGTTCTCGTGTGTGAAACAATGGGCCTTGCATTGGATGACCCATTAATGTGTGTTCACGTCTATTGTTTTACATGTCGATCCATTGAACATGTCTTGTAACCCAATTTTCATCTTGTCTTCCCCTCATGTCAGTTTTGTAGGTTATCCAAATAATTGGATGGAGAAGAGACATTCTGGAAGAGACGAAATTGCAATTTCACTCTATCCGATTGGTGCCATTCAACAATTGCAAAACAAATGATGGGGGTAGATGAAGTCCACAATTGAGGATCTCTATATGCTTGCATGGGTATTGATGTTTGCAAGCCTTGATATGGAGCCCATAAAAACTACAAATAAATTAAACTTTGTTACTTAAGATAATATGCTAAAAAAAAGAAAATACGAAACAAATAAAACTTTGTTATGAAGATTTACTTGATCAACCTGAATGTGATCAAACATTGATCTGTATCCAACAACATCATTATGAGGTACACTTCGAAAGTTTAGTACTCTACCCCCACTACATTTGCAGTCCAAAGGGAATGTTGGTGGTACTATAGAAATTGGCGCAATATATGACA